TGCAACATCAGGTTTCCATGTTTTCCTTACCAGAGGGCAGGCACAGCGTGAAGGAATCCCAGCAAGCTGGGCTGGAGCTGGGCTCCTGCACAAAACACCGAGCAACCTGCAGAGCACCAACAGCTCCAGAGCACAGCTGTCAGGCACAAGAACCTCCTGTGCATTCACCCAAAGGAAAACACATCCCAAATACTCTGGAAGTGACAGTGCAGGCTTTGTATGTGCCCAGGAAGAGCCCCCACTGTTATTAACACAGCAAAGGATGCGCTGCTGGAAGGAAGCATCTCCAGCTGCTCAGTCTTACCTAGCATCGCTCTGATGTTCTTTGAGCAGCCTCAGATAGAAGAAAAGAATAAATCCAAATTATTAAAGCCCTTAATCACTTCTTGTCACCAAGCACAGAGGGTAGGGATGAGGATGGGAGCATCAGGAACAGCCACGGAATGCTGCTGTGGGGCTGAGATAGGGCAAAGCTGAGCCATCCCTGGTCACAGACCCTGGCCACCACCTGGCTGCCCACAGCAGGTCTGTGAGGCTCCCAGGCATTCCGTGGTCCCCATCCCACTCCTTCTTCCCTTGTAAGCATCATGGGCCAGCAGTGGCACTCTGAGAGGATCACTGAAGATGGTGAGGTATATTACTATGGTAACAAGGCTGCCACATACCTGAGGCAAGAGCAGGAGGATAAGACCTCCATAAAAAGGTGCAGAGGAACAGGAGGCTTATCCTAGCCCTTGCTACACCACGCTGTCAGCTGGACTGGTGAGTGAGGTGAGATAAAGCTGATGGGGTGGGAGAGCTCTGCTGGGAGCTCAGGAGGGACAGACAGACAGACAGACACAGGGCATCCCAGCACGGCTCCATTAAGTGGGAAAGCAGCAAGCATTAGGCAGGCGGTGTCCCCAAGGTGATCTGATGCAAAGCACCTTAATGCAGCCTGGGTACCACCTCGAAGCTCCAGGAAAGCCCATCTCTTCCCTAATAGATCTGCATCACCCTGACAGCCTGAAGCCTCATTTCTCACCCCTCTCCTGAGCAATTTGCTCCTCCAGAGATGCTCGCACTGCAATCAAGCCACCTGGCAGCCTTCTTTTTGAGGGGCTGAATAGCACAAACTCTTCCCTCGCTTTCTCCTGCTCATCCCTCACTGCAGGAACAGCGTAAAGGAGCTCATCCTGCACCCCCTCCCACTGCCAGGTGTGTAAAAAGTTGGTTTGATTCCCTCTGCCTGGACAGAACTGCTCACGCAGGTGCTCCAGGATTCGCAGAGGGGCATTTTTATCATTTACTCATCAAAGCTCTTCCGATCCCTTAATGAGATGCAATTCAAGGCAGTTTGAAGAAGCAGAACAGCATCGGCGGCTTCTGTAACAATCGACACAAAAGCGCCTTCCAAGTGCCTCTTTTATGTGGCTTTGCCCATCAGCATGGCAGGGAGATAAAGTTCTGTAATTTATTTCTGCTAATACACTCAGCTGGCAATTGATGCCTTTATGAGGGTGACTGTGTCTGTGGGATGTGCTGATGTTTATAGGCTGCTAAATTTGATTTATACGGAACAGCCAGCGCTGCTATTGGTGAAGGCCCAGTGTTTCCAGGAGAGCTAATACGATTTGCATTGATTAGATTAATATCAATTAAGCAGAGCGCAGACGGATGATTTCCAACCTCTCCAGCCCCAGCAGATGAAGGTGCTCTTTGGTTTCGCAGGTGTTGGACTCACAGCAGAAGGGATTTTGTTGCTCTCACTTGGATGGGCATCCCGGGAAGCAGCAAGGAACGCAGCTCTGCTCACGCAGGAGGAATTGCTGATCCCAAAGCAGTGTGATTTAACTGGAAGGGCTTGCAGCAGGGTGCAGGACGAGCTCTGGATGTCTGCTCGCTGGGAGACGTGCGGATGGACTTTGTGGTCACAGCAGCTCTGCTTGCAGCCACAAACCATCCCATCGCAGCGGTGTTCCAGTGCCCTCTTGTGCCCAAACACGAGGGGTCGATGCTGCCGAGTCTCTCCGCTGGTAATTTGGGGAAGAGAGGAGGAGGTTTTGCATTGAGATCCGCACCCCCCAGCGAGTTCTATCCAATGAAGGGAGAAAACCACACAGAAAGGCCGATTTAATCTCATTAAATGCGTCTGTGAAGGCAGGTGATGATGGAGCACCGTAGGGCAGCTCAGTGCCTGGGACGGGGCTGGAGAGGATGCTGAGGGCTTGACCAAGGGACCTTGCCACTGAAGTTCCCATCTCTGTACCTGGGATGCTCAGCATTAAGCAGCACCTTAAGCTGATGCTCTCAGAGCACCTTGGCTGGAAGCACATCCCAGCTCTGTCCTGCCATATCCAGCAGCCTTTGCCCCCCCAACTCATGGGGATGGGAGGGACAGAGGGGGTCCATCCCCAGGCTCCAGGCAGCACGACCCATCCTGAGCCCATCAGAAACCCTTCTTACAGGGATGGAGGCTCTGGATCCAGCTCGAAAGGCTACAACCACAGAGTGACAGGGCAATGAGACAACAAACCCACTCTCATCACAGCTGATGGGGAAACCTTCCCTGCACAGGTAAAGAAGAACTGGTTTCTGGCTGATAACTTACAGCCTCATTGCACACTTGGCTTCGCACACACCACTATGGTGGGAGGTGTGGAGTCTGACCCACTGGAATGGGTTGGATGGATCTCTGTATTTCTGCTCACATTTGTGATGGATTTGTGGCCTGTTCACCACCCAAGCAGAAGAGATCTGTCCAGAGCTTTGTGCAAAGCTTGCTGCTTCCCAAGCAAACATCCCTGCAAGCCAGGAAATGCTGCATCCCCCACCTCCCAACCCTTCCATACAGTAGGAGCTGGGGAACCACTGGCAGGTGAGAAAAGCAATGCAGAGAGAACAAACCAACCTATAGCTGGAAACATGCCTTATCATTTGTTCCAGCTCTCCTGAACCCTCCAGCCCTCCTACATGCACTGCACCGGTCAGATTTGCTGCTCTCTGGATGCTCTTAGAGATTCCTTCAGTCATCTTAGCCTTTCCCTGGCTGCTCAGCAAACACTGTCTCCGCCCCCTGCTGCTTTCCAACCTGTTCCTCCACCTCCCAGCAGCACGACTCATACGCTCACCATCACCCTTCCATCCCCAAAAGCAGGAGTTGGCCAGCAGCACGGATTTGCAATCTATATGTTAATCATTATCCACCTCCAGGGACTGTGCTGACCTCCAGAAAGGGGAGGTTTCATTGACAAACACGCAATGGATGCTCCCAGTTTCCATCCAGAGAGGAAGTTTCCATCATGGTGCAAACAGTGCAATGCTCACCAATGGGGGTCTCACTAATTAGGCATCAGCCTGTGCCACGTGACAGGGAGAAGAGGCTGGGATAATTATCTTTCCTCCAAAAAGGTCCTTTCATCAGTGCGCTCTGCATTCTGACCCTGTGCTAATGATGTGGCACCTGATGGGAGAGTGGAAAGGGGAAAAATCCAAAGAGGAACTCCAGCAAAGCGTCTGTGCTCATCACACGAGGAGCTGGAATGGAGTTGGAGTAATGGGAGCAATGAGTGCAGTGCTGGGAAGCACCAATCTGCGCCCAGTGTGAGCACAGCGTGCGTATGGACACACACACACACACATCTACACACATCCATACATGCAAACATATGCATACGTGCACAAATACGTGCACACAACACAAGGAAATGTGCACACGTGGACACAAACATGTGGGCGTGCACACCCAGCTGCAGGGCTGCAAACACACACTTGCACACCCAAACTGCAAAGCAACAGTCCTGCATGTGCACACATGCAAACACGTGTACACACACTCCAAGACATGTAAACCTATGCAAGCATGTGCACACACATGTACGCATGCACATATGTGTACACACCTACATACATGCACACACAAGTACACATCAAAACACAGATACATACCCCTACACACATGCATACATGCACACATGCAGATACATGTGCACATTTACATACTTATGCACAAACATGCAAACATACACGCTCACACATGTATACATATGTGCATACACATATACAGACAGATGCACACACATGTATGCATACATGTGCACAGATAAACACATGCAAACATGTGAACACACGCATACACATAAGTACGCACATGCACACACAAGTACATACATGTGCAAAGAGGACATACATGCAGAATGTGTACACATGCAGATCCATATACACCTGTATACGCATGAACACACATGTACAAACACATGTGCAAGCACACACACACATAAACATGTGCACTAACAGGCACACACATGTACACACATGCTAACACATGAACACATGTAGCCATGCACATACATGTACACATGTACACGCATATGCATACATGTACACATGCACACATGCAGATGTACTTACAGCCACCCACACACATACAAACACGTGCACACACATGTGCACACACACGTACATGTACTCAGGTACACACATACAAACACACATGTGCACAAACATGTACACACACACACATATGCACACACACCCATACACATGCGCACCGCCTACTGGGGGCGGGGCCAAGTCGATGGGCGGAGCCACGCTAGGGGCGGTGCTACGTTTGGGGGCGGGGCCACGCAGAGGGGCGGGGCCACATGGAGATCGGGCTACGTTAGGGGGCGGGGCCACGCAAAAGGAGGCGGGGCTACGTAGGGGGTGTGGCCACGTACAGGGGCGGGGCTATGTTAGGGGCGGGGCCATATAGAGGGGCGGGGCTACATTTGGAGGAGGAGCCACACAGAGACGGGGCTACGTTAGGGGGCGGGGCCAGGCGGAGGGGCGGGGCTTCGCTTTAGGGCGTGCTTCGGTCAAGGGGGCGTGGCCTCGGGAGGGGGCGTGGCCTGGAGGAGGAGGCGTGGCTTCTCATGCCGCGCTCTGCCTTTGCTCCGTGCGCCGCCGCTTCCGAGTAAACAGCGCGGGCGGGGGCTGCCCCCCCCCCCCCCCCCCCCCCCCCCCCCCCCCCCCCCCCCCCCCCCACCCCCAGGCCCGGCCCAGCCATGGCCGCCCGCGGCGCGTTCCCGCTCAGCCCTCTGCCTCCTTCCGCCGCCGCTGCTCCTCCACCTCCGGGACCCGGACCCGGTATGATGAGAGGCCCCAGCCCATCTCCGGCTTCCGCGGCCGCCCCGGGTTACCGCCCGATGGGACCTTCGGGAGCTCAGTACCAGGTGAGGGGGGGCGGGGGCTGTGTGCTCTATGGGGGGGTTACTCAGAGCCCTCCGAAGGAGCCGTGGGGGGGTTCAGAAACCCTTTGGACCTGGAGGAAGCGGCGGTGCTTCCGGAGCGCGGGGCCCGAGGGAGGGGGGGGGGG